CATCTCTCCATGTTAGCTCTTTCGTGTTCTGTCTGTGTTAGCAGTTTCATGTTTGGGTCATACCTATCACACTATCAGGTCTAGGACCACCAGACCTTGTCAGTTGGGTTGCATCCAAAAAGTCTCATTTTGGAATTGTACGGCTATATTACATAGTCAAATCTTATTTGGATCATGTCTTTCCTCACAGAGAGGCCTAGGACCATCAAACTAGATTAGTTAATGCATTTTGGGGGGAAGGTGTGTCACAAAAGAAACAAGGTCATCATGGCCTAGCTCATTTTGGATTTTCATGACTGCACAGTGTCAGATTATGTCCAGAGCATACCGTGCACATTGTGAGGCCTAGGATCACCGAACTTCATCAAACTTTCTGGCTATACATTTCTAACTGTGTCTGAATCATATTTTGTGCTCTGCGACTACCAGTATCATCAAACCTTGTCATGTGATACATCTTGGGAAAGAAGATTTGTCAAAACCCATAACAAGAGACCCATGGGCCACATAGCTCACCTTAGTTACCTGGCCCAACAGTTCTTCAACTGCAGATTTTTTTTCCTAAATATACCTATGTAAAACTTTCATCACATATTGTGGACCCACCCTACACCTGAAATCATGATTTGAACAAAATTAAATCTACACGACCTGAGGATGCTTGCACATCAATACGGCTAATCATGCCTTTGCTGTTCTTGAGAGGATGATTTTTTTTAAAAAATCATTTTCCTTTTTAAAACTTTGATCACCTATTGTGGCCCCAACTTACCTCTAGGGGTCATGATTTGAACAAAACTGAATCTACACTACCTGAGGATACTTCCATATATATATATATATATATATATATATATATATATATATATATATATATATATATATATATATATATATCTATATCTCACTATTCATGCCTTTGCTATACTAGAGAAGAAGACTTTTAAAGATTTTTTTCCTATATATACCTATGCAAAAACTTTGAATGCCCGTTGTTGCCCCACCCTACCTCTGGGGGTTATGATTTGAACAAACATGAATCTACATTAAATGAGGATGCTTCCACAAAAGTTTCACCTGAGAAGAAGATATTTTAAATGTCATTAAATTTTCGCTAATTCTTAATTATCTCCCCCTTGGAAGAGGGTGTGGCCCTTCATTTGAATAAACTTGAATCCCCTTCATCCATGGATGCTTTATGGCAAGATTGGTTGAGATTGGTCCAGTGCTTCTGTAGAGGAAGATTAAAATGTGAAAAGTTTATGATGATGACGACAACAACAATGGACAATTTTTTTATCAGTAGAGCTCATGTTAGCCTTTGGCTCAGGTGAGCTAAAAGTAGATCACCATGGCCTTATTTAATAATTTTATGACTTTGTCAGATTGTGTCAGGTTCATATCTTTCACACTCTGAGGTTGATGCATCTTCGGGAGGTGTATTGTAACCCAAGAGTAGGTCAAGAGTTGCTTGGAATTTTATGGCCATAGTCATATTCAAATTGTGTCTGGATCATATTCTGCACCCTCTGAGGCCTAGGACCATCAAACCTAGTCATGTGATACATCTTGGTGGAAGATGTGTTGCAAACCCAAAAGTATTCACCATGGACTAATTTTGGAATTTCATTGCTATTCGTTTTCAAATCAAGTCTAGATCATATCTTGCACACTTTGGGGTCTAGGACCATCAAGCCATGTCAGTTGATGTATCTTGCATGGGAGAGGGTGTAGCAATTTAAGAGCAGATCATACTGGTAATTTTGGCTATACGAGTACATAGTTAAATCATGTCCAGAACACATCTTGCCCACTGTGAGGCTTAGGATCATCAAACCTTGTCAGATGATGATCTGTCACAATTAAAATTAGGTCACCATGGGTCCATGGCCATATTTTAGAATTTTATGGCTGTACATAAATTATATAGTTCCAAATGGGCATATTGTGTAACCCAGCAGTGCACTTTACTTAAAGATTTTCCCTATATACTTTGATCCCTTACTGTGGCCCAATTTTACCCTCCCCACACTTGAATCTGTATTACCTAATAATGCTTTCATATTAATGACTATTCATGGCCTTGCTGTTCTCAAGATTTTTTTCCTACATATTCCCATGTACAAGTTGAACCCCCCTACTGCTGCCCAACCCTACCCAGGGGGGACATGATTTGAATAAATTTACTTGAGGAGGCCTTATTAATATAACTAATAATGCCCTTTTTGTTCTTAAAAAGATTTTTTAAAATGTGTTCCTATATATTAACATGTAAAATTTTAATTCCCTTTTATGACCCAACTTACCCCAGGGGAGCCACGATTTGAATGAACTTGAGGAATCTACACTATGACAGCTTTCACACATTTTTTTTTTTGGCCTACTCGTTCTTGAAAAGATTTTTGAATGACCCTACTCTAAAAAATACCAGTGTTGCCTGTTTGTGTTCAGTGATGTGTGCAGTGTTACCAAATCAAACATATCCGGTAAAACGTAAACAAAACAAATGAAAGAAAAAGTGAGCAAGCTCACATACCCCACGCTCCCCCAAAACTCGACAATGCAACATGTAATGAATGGCACAGTGTATTTTAAATACACAGCATAATTCAAAAAGGGGCATTACTTGAAAAAAATCATCACATCAAAACTTCTTGCATATACGGACATTCAAATCTTTGTATGTTACAAATTTAATTGGGCTGAAGTTTCTAGATAAATGATGGAATCAAAATTTCTTGGTAGTATACAAATCTATACATTATGTCTGAAATACCTACAAAGTTTCAAGAAATTCAGTGCAGGAGTTATGCTGACAAACTGTTATTTAAATTCCTCAGTGATTTCGATTTGTTAATGAGTGAAAGTCCATGTCCAACACATTACAACCTACACATTTAAATAATTGATGGAAACAAAATTATGATGTAGTCATATGAATTTGTTTATATACTGTACTTATGAAATTATTTAAGGCAAAGCACCGATTTGGGGGGGGGGGGGGGGGGGGGGGGGGTGAGAACTATCCAAGATTCAAGATTTTGTGTGTGTGTTAAATCATTACTATTTTGATCTCAAAATCATTAGGGGTCTTTTAAGGTCATAAAATATTTCACATAAAATGTCATTACAAAGGCTGATTCCAGTGTGGATTTCCTTATTACCTAGCTGGAAAGTTTCTTCAATAATAGCAAAACTTTTAGGGCAAAAATAATGAAATCGGAATTTCCTGGTAATATGCACATCTACACACTGTGTCCTAAATATCTGCAAAGTTTGACCAAATTCTGTGCAACAGTTTAAAAGGAGTTGCACTGACAAAATGTTTGTCTCTATATTCAAGATATGGCAAAAAATCTAAGTTGAAAAGTGCCGAAATTCCCAGAAAAATAAAGGAATCGGAATTTCCTGGTAATATGCACATCTACACATTGTGTCCTAAATATCTGCAAAGTTTGACCAAATTCTGTGCAATGGTTTAAGAGGAGTTGCGCTGACAAACTGTTTGTCTCTATATTCAAGATATGGCCAAAAAATCTAAGTTGAAAAGTGCAGAAATTCCCAGAAAAAATAAAGGAATCGGAATTTCCTGGTAATATGCACATCTACACATTGTGTCCTAAATATCTGCAAAGTTTGACCAAATTCTGTGCAGCGGTTTGGGAGTTGCGCTGACAAACTGTTCATCTCTATATTCAAGATATGGCAAAAAATCTAAGTTGAAAAGTGCCGAAATTCCCAGAAAAAATAAAGGAATCGGAATTTCCTGGTAGTATGCACATCTACACATTGTGTCCTAAATATCTGCAAAGTTTGACCAAATTCTGTGCAATGGTTTAAGAGGAGTTGCGCTGACAAACTGTTTGTCTCTATATTCAAGATATGGCCAAAAAATCTAAGTTGAAAAGTGCAGAAATTCCCAGAAAAAATAAAGGAATCGGAATTTCCTGGTAATATGCACATCTACACATTGTGTCCTAAATATCTGCAAAGTTTGACCAAATTCTGTGCAGCGGTTTGGGAGTTGCGCTGACAAACTGTTCATCTCTATATTCAAGATATGGCAAAAAATCTAAGTTGAAAAGTGCCGAAATTCCCAGAAAAAATAAAGGAATCGGAATTTCCTGGTAGTATGCACATCTATACATTGTGTTTGTCTTTATATTCAAGATATGGCCAAAAATTTAAGTTGAAAAGTGCCGAAATTCCCAGAAAAAATAAAGGAATCGGAATTTCCTGGTAATATGCACATCTACACATTGTGTCCTAAATATCTGCAAAGTTTGACCAAATTCTGTGCAACAGTTTAAAAGGAGTTGCACTGACAAAATGTTTGTCTCTATATTCAAGATATGACCAAAAATCTAAGTTGAAAAGTGCCGAAATTCCCAGAAAAATAAAGGAATCGGAATTTCCTGGTAATATGCACATCTACACATTGTGTCCTAAATATCTGCAAAGTTTGACCAAATTCTGTGCAATGGTTTAAGAGGAGTTGCGCTGACAAAAAAACAGGACTGATGGACTGACTGACTGACTGACTGACGGGTCAAAAACATTATACCCACCGCAACTAGTTGCGTGGGGTATAATAATAGAGCTCAAGCACCTGTTTACAAGCACAGGTGTTTGCAGAGGTAAGGTTATGAAGAATACTGTTGTGATTGAATATTAATTTTCATGAAAGTTCAAATCATTAAAACTGAAGTTATTTTTACAATAATTATAAAAAAAACTGTAAACAAAATGGCAATGCAAGTGTGTCCATGCCCCTTTAAATTTGAGAGTAAAATAGAAAATGATTTTTAAATCTCAGAGTCTCTTTAATATCACTCAATACTTGCTTACTAAGCTTATTCATTTTGTATTTCTGTACTACAAGGCCAACATTAAAATTGTATTATTTTCTGTACTCCAGCCAAACAACTGAATTATGGCAACTCATTCTTTTTTTTTAACAAAATTTTAACTCCCCCCCCCCCTTTTTTCATTTTTTCCAGATCTGGAATTTTTTTTAATAGTTTCCACAATAGACAATGGACTTTGTATCTTAAATTTGAATTATGGTTCAGATATATTTTGTTTCAGGTACAATTTCATGTTGACTAACATACATGAGCCAATGTGCATACACAAAACTGAAAGTTATGAAAATACAATGTAAATATAAGCTACCGATTCAAGCTTTCAAATGAATGTTTGAAGTACATGCTTGATGACATTTTCTAATGAAGGCCCATTACATTTGAAATGTTAATCATCCAAATCATTTGTTAAATTGATATTTTATTTGGCTCTATTTGATATACAGATAATGAAATTTTAATCATTGTCCTCCATCTACTTACTTTCTGAATTAACTGGTCGACATGGTAGATTTGATGGCCAAACAAATTTAGGCTTTGTAATGTCAATAAAGTCATAGTCCGCAAAAGCATTCACTGCAACAACATTTTTAAATGCAAGATCTTTTTCATACATTTCAAGGCTGGATGAAGCAAGGCTAAAAAAATTTGCTTTTGGAGCTTCGAGTAATGACTCATGAGGTCCACTACATAAATATTTATAATTCAGAACAAGCCATGCAGCAAGAATTGCCTCATAATTCACTTGACATCTTGAGCCAGGTATCTCAACCAGTAGCTTAATGCCTCTACTTTCAAGCAAGATATCATGCTTGCTGTCATAAAAATAAATTTTGATTTCTTTTCTAGTTGCTGCCATACAAGGAATAAGAAAATTATCTAGATTAGGATGTCTTTGCTTTTGCAGGAAGGAAAATACAATGATCTGAGCTAAAGTCTGGCTACGGAACCCTCTTTCTTCTACACTTTTGGGTTTCACCTCTATGGATGCTCTGCCACCTGGGCTGATTTCTTCCTCTGGTGGGGCCACATGTACAAAAGACTCAATACTTCCAAGGAGGATATCTAAAGATCCATGCCAGCAATCTGGATTCCCTACAACAAAGTAAAAACAAGTTAACCATTTATCATGTTGATGATAAATTCATATATTTACATTCCATATCAATTTTTCTTATAAAGTATATTGAAAGCATCAGCATTCATAATACCATGATCAGGAATGTCAAGAGGTTAAATTCCTGGTTTTTATTTTGACGTCACAATTTGATTGCCGCACAAGTACAACGTCACAAACGAAAATCAGAATTCAAACTAACATTGAACAGAAACAGCTGTTCTCTCAATTTTTCCCTCAGATGTAGCGTGCATCATATAAACAGGTATAATAAATGCAAACAATTTATATTTCTCAATCTTCCATCAATAAATGTATATATAAGTATTGAATTGTAAAGTTTGGACATTTATTGTGTCATAACACAGACGGCTGTGGCTCACCATTCAATCAGTGTGCATTCAGCATGTGCTCACCATTTGCTCTCCATTCACAGTTTTGCATTCACCAATCACCTTCCCTTATATTATCTTGGAGCATACAGTGACAATTGCTTGGTGGGAAAATTTTACAAAGATCTGACAAATAGGAAGTTGAACTTGGCATTTTTCACTTTCCCGGAAAAGCTGTTAAGTTCCCCTTCACTATAGATGTCGATGCTCAAAAACGGATTCATTTGATCATGATATGCCTTCACTGCATTTATTCACTTTGCATAAGAAAATGTGCTGATCCCAGCTGTTCCATCTACATCAGGCCACGCTTGCCACCTGAAGTCTATAAACAGTTACATTGATTTCCAGACCCTGTTCCTGGTATTTCTAGTTATAGCTTATGATATTTTCAAGTGATTTCTATAAAGATCAAATTATTTAAAAGTGAAGTGATATATGAAATATGAGCAGAATAATAATACAAGTCTTAGATTTCAATGTTAAAAACAAGAGGCCACAGAAATCAATTCAGTTTTGAAAAGTTCCCTTACTGTTTAAGTGGGAAAGTAGAACATTTCAGGGACTGTACTGGGAATGGACTTCCTTCAAAAACTTTAACTGGGACGCCAACACTGATGCTGGGGGTATAGCATAAGCTTATCTCGACTTTGTCGAGGTGAGCTAAATAAATTTTGAAAATTGTTCAAACTGATTTATAGATGGAGTGTAAAACTACAATCTCCTTTAGCGTTTGCCAGCAGGGGACTACAAATACATTAAATTTACCTAGGATTGTTCATCATTTCAATTGTTTTTCAATAAACAGCCAATTTACTCACCTACACTTGTGTCGCCAAAACAAGGTGAAACAAATTCTGGTTTGCATGATCCACATTTGCAAAGAGAAATGCCTTTGTATTTCGCAGAATGATCCATTGTATATGTGTCAGAAAGTGAAAGCTTGCTAAAAAAGTGTTCAGCCAAGACAATCATTAGCTCAGTCTTCGATAGATCTGTTCTCTGTATTCTTTTTAGTATGGCATGTGAATCTTTAAAAAAAAATTGAATTTACAATTTTTAATGAGAACGATTGTCAGTACTTACTAAACTGAACCAAAGGTGTTGAACATGAAAACAATTTCCTAAGTATGTTTGAATTAGATTAAAAATTAATCATTGTTAACAAAATATCACTTGCACTTATAATTATGGTTCCTTATGCCATGGTCCAAATTGTTTAGGGTATTATTTCAACAGACATCTTCAAAAGATGTCTATTAAAAAACAACACTTTTTACCTGACACCACAAGTGATAGGCAAGTTAGAGATTAATTTTTTCATGGTGCAAAACTATGGATTGATTTAACCAAATTTATTATGAGTGTATTCACAACAACAGTTAGAAGAATAAACACTCCTGTTACTGATGCAAAATTTTTCTTTTTTCCCTTTAAATGCAACTTTTTATTCCATGCAATTCCCTACATGGGCATGTCTGTGTAATCTTTTTTTTCTGTGTTTCTATACAACTGGATCAGAGGGGGTCAACCTCTCCAAGGCTCTACATTAACATTTTTTCTTACTTGTCCATTCTGAAATTCATTTGTCAGAATATAATTTTTTCTTGTCCAAAAATTCTTCAATAAAGAATTATCTAATAACTTGAAAAATATTGTTATACATTCACAGAGTCTGTTTTATGATTTTTTAAACACCAAATTATGAAGCAAAATTGTATTATCCTCTCCTATATAGGAAAAAGAGGCCCATGGGCCTAGAATTGCTCTTCTGATAAATTGAATAACTGTCACTATGACCTATTTTTGGGTCATCATATCCCAAGGCCCAATGGCATCAACTCAGAGTTTGACGATTCTTAGTCAATATAGAACCTTTAGTATACAAACTATGATATTTCACAATGAATGACAATGAAATTTTAAACACGTCACTGTGGCGATTACACTTTCCTGTGCCTCAAGGTGCATCAACTTTCTAATTTTGGTGTCCCTTCAAAGTTTGATATTTCTAAGAATTTTAGTATCCAAGATATTTAGCTAAAATAATTTAACAAGAGGCCCTTGGGCCCCATCACTCACCTGAGTAACTTTGACTATGCTGTCCTTTACCAGATTTTCCCCCTTGTAATACCTATTGTGGCCCCGCCCTACCCGCAGGGGTCATGATTTGAACAATTTAGAATCTACACTACCCCAGGATGCTTCCACATAAGTTTCAGCTTTTCTGGTCCAGTGGTTCCTGAGAAGAAGATTTTTAAAGTGTTTTCCTATATATTTCAATGTAAAACTTGGATTCCCTATTGTGGCTCCGCCCTACCCCAGGGGGTCCTGATTTGAACAATTTAGAATCTACACTACTTGAGGATGCTTCCACATAAGCTTCCGTTTTTCTGGCAAATTGTTCTTGAGAAGAATATTTTTAAAGATTTTTCTTACATATTTCAATGTAAAACTTGGATTCCCTATTGTGGCCCGGCCCTACCCAGTGGGGTCATGATTTGAAGAATTTAGAATCTACACTACCCCAGGATGCTTCCACTTAAGTTTCAGCTTTTCTGGCCCAGTGGTTCTTGAGAAGAAGATTTGTAAAGATTTTTCTTATATATTTCAATGTAAAACTTGGATTCCCTATTGTCACCCCGCCCTACCCCCGGGGGTCATGATTTAAACAATTTAGAATCTTTACTACACCAGGATGCTTCCACATAAGTTTCAGCTTTTTTAGCCCAGTGGTTCTTGAGAGGAAGATTTTTTAATGACCCCACCCTATTTTTGTCTTTTCTTGATTATCTCCCCTTGTAAGGGAACTTGGCCCCTTATTTTAACAATTTAAACTCCCCTTTACCCAAGGATACTTTGTAATAAATTTGGTAAAACTTGGCCCAGTGGTTTTTGAGAAGAAGTTGAAAATGTTGTCACGAAAAGTTTACAGACGGACGGACAGACAGACAGACGGACGGACAACAGGTTATCAGAAAAGCTCACTTGAGCTTTCAGCTCAGGTGAGCTAAAAATGAATAGCTGTAATATTTGCAAAGTAAGTCACTGTGACCTACTTTTTTATTTGACACATGCGGGCCTTAAGGTGAAGCCACACTCGTTTGACATTATATTAAAAACTTCAACTAAAATGAGTGGAAAAAGACTGCCTTTAAAATTTGGGTGAAAAAAAGGATGTGTTTCTAAAGTAATGCAGAGATGTCTCTACCTGTTAATGAGGTTTCGATCTGAGTAACACTTGATTTTTGTGAAAAAATAGACAAATATATTTAAAACTGATTACATGTACTTTAAAAGGGATGTAATTTTTTCAATTTTTATAGTTTCCTTATAAATGACATTCTTTCATGAAATGAGTCTTAGTGCAAAAATGTTAAATATGTTAAAACACACACAACTTTTAAATAAATATGATTACATGTAAATTTTTTTTGTAATGAAAGTAGATATTTGCATGTTCAATGATATATTTTCCCAATTTGCATTTTTCTCTGAGATTTTGACAAATATTTGAAATTTAACATTAACATGTATGAAAATTAATCGACGTATGGGAATCTTCAAGTAGTGTATATTGCATCATCAGGCCAACATTTTTTAATAAAATGGTTTTACGGAGCTCCAACTACAATCTTAGCTAAAAATAAAAGTCCTTGTCATTTATTTTATTCTTAAAATTCCCGTGTTCATCCATGCATGTGCACTAAAAAAATAATACAATGTACAAATGAATCAGCTATTTTGATTGACTAGTTTACTGAAAGTCATAAATATCATCCAATCAATTTATGTTAATTATCTACTGTTTCACTTCGTGGGTCACTGTGACCTAATTTTTATGTGACACACTCTGAGGCCTTAAGAGGCATTAACTGACAAAGTTTGATCATCCTAGGCTTCACAGCACCCAAAATATGCATCTAAAATTATCTGAAAATGAATAGTCGCTAAATTCAAAAGAGTGGGTCTCTGTCACCTACTTTTAGATTAATAGATCCCAAGGCCCCAAGATGCGTCATATGACGAGGTTTGATGATCCTAGTCCGCTTAGTATTAAAGCTTGAAAGATGTGATTAGAAATCATGATAAAATTTTAAAAATAGGTCACTCTGACCTACTTTTAAATTGACATAACCAGGGGCATCAAGATGCATTATCTGTTTAGGTTTGGAAATCCTAAAGGTCATAGTGTTCAAAATATATAGGTTTAAAGAATTTTAAATGATATGCCTTAAAAATCAGAAAGTAGGTCAGTGACCTACTTTTTAATGGTCAAACACCAAGGCCCCAAGATGCATCAATTTTACTGACAAGGTTTGATGATTCTAAAATCACTTTGTATCTCAAACACCTTGCTTAAATATACTGAAAATGAATAGCCATAAAACTCAGAAAGTAGGTCACTGTAACCTATTTTTCACACTTTCAGGCATTAAGATGAGCTGACACAATTGACCACTCTAGGCTTCACAGTGTAGATATGCATTTAAAGCAATTGAAAATCCATTGCTACTACATTAAAAAAAGTAGGTCACTTTGACCAGAAAAATTTGACTACGAATAATGAAAAAAAATGAAAAAAAAATTGAAAAAGTAGGTAACTGTGACCTACATTTATATTGACATATCCCCAAGCCTCAAGATGCATCAACTATTTTGGTTTGGAAACCCTGAAGGTCATAGTGTTCAAAAGATATACATTTAGAGATCTTAAAATGATAAGCCATAAAATGCAGAAAGTATGTTACTGTGACCTATTTTAAGCTGACACACCCTGAGGCCCCAAGATGCATCAACTGACAATATTTGATAATTCTTAACCTCTTAGTACCTGAAATTTTTATGTAAAATGTTTTGAAAATGGAAAGCCTTAAAATTCAGAGAGTATGTCAAGGTGACCTACTTTTTGACTGACACACTCCATGGCCCAGTGATGTCCATGTCCAAGATATGCATCAAAATCAATTTGAAAATGAATAGCTGCAAAATTCAAAAAGTAGGTCACTGTGACCTACTTCAGGTTTGATGAAACTTGAGGACCTAAAATGCATCAACTGACAAGATTTGATGATAGTAGTCCTCATAGTGAACAAAATATCAAAGATTTAACAAATTATCATTTTAGGATAAATTTTGATGTGACCTTGATACCATGCCTTTTGCCCTAGGGTGATCCTTGAACAATTACAAATCTGTACTGTATCCTCATCCTTATATCTAACTTTGGTGATAATCTGCCCAGTCGTTCATGAGAAGAAGACTATTTCACAACTGATTTTTTTTTTATATTTCCACCCTCCCTATCATTAGTACAAATGAAAGCCCTTTGCCCCAACAATACTCTGTAACAAATTTGATAAAAATTGGCCAAGTGGTTCTTGATACATTCCAAGAAGTTTACGCACATGGCACACCAGGCCATAGCATTAGCTCTTTCAGCCTTGGGCTCAAAAGGGCTAAAAATAGCAACAAGAAATAGGTTCAACACCAAATGTTTCTTTGCTTATTATTCCAGCCTGTCTTTATTGCCTTTGTCTTCATCTGTTTCAGCTTTTTTAACCAATACTAAAAACCCAAACTTCATCAGATCCATGCCACTAATCGAAGCTCAAAATTGAAAGTAATGCTTCTATACTGAACTTTGATCTCCGTGGAGTTTGATGACTGGGATCAAAATTCATTATGATCAGGATTGAAATTACCCATTTATGCACTGCATGCTTTTGATTTCAACTTCTGATAAAAAAAAAAGTTGACAATAGCTTTTCTTTTCAACTTAAAAAAAAATAATCACAGAACGGTACCAGACAAGCGAACAGGTGTTAATGTTGAGCCCTGCTCCATCGCGAAGGGAGAAAGGATGCAGCCTCCTTGAGAAATGTTTAAACCAGCCAGGACAGGACCCCCCTAATATACATCCTAAATATGTATATATATATATATATGTAATATATACATTCTTAAATATGATAATAATAAGATACATGTAATAATTTTTGAAACAAAACCAAAAAATCCCTGGGTCAGG